ACTGAGCAACAACTGATCTACAACTTGTTGCCAAAGGATCCGTGACAGACCCAGGACACTCTACTGGGACCTAGCAGAGCTGCCTACACGCTCAGGCTGCAGCAACCTCCCAGCTTCAACAACAACAGAATAATGGAGTCACACCAGTCTTCAGCCAAACACCCAGCATCAATCTCTGCCACAGTCCCCATTCCTGGAGTTTAAGGGATGTCTCTCAAGCTTTTCTGGTCCCACTCAGTTTCAAGAAACTTAAGAGTAGAATAGCAAGTTACCTACAACTGCAGCATCCAAGTTAATGTAAGTGAAGACTTTGGCATGCAGTGTGGCAGAGTATCCCTAGAAAAAAAACAACAAGTATTTTAAGATGAGCAGTACAACACCAGAATGTTTAATCCGTAGCAAAGGGAAATGACAGCCAGAGTCATCACACAGAAATCTATCAAAGCAACAGTACCTCCAGCCATTCAGTAGCACCCACAGTTCCGTACTCTCCTGCACTCCAGCTGGCAAAGATGATGCTGCGCCTTGGTTTGTAGCCACCTGCAAAGAGAGAGACACTGAGATGTCTGCCCTTCCCCCATGGAGATGTAAATTAGCACTGAGGACCTGGGTTGATGAATTGCCTGTTCCTTGGACAGAGCTGAAGCATTCTGGCTGCTGCAAACGTGCACACTAGTGGCTGCACAGACACTGCACCCTGCCTCCCCCACGCTGCAGAGCTGCGTAGAAAAGCCATGCTATCTGCATCTCCCTCTTTTTTTATTCAGCTGAGCCTAAAGTTGACCCCAGAGACAAAAGCACTCACACCAAGTGTCACCATGCAGCCCCCACCACTCCAGATGGTCAGATTCTTCACTGTTTTCCTACCTTCAGGCCTGGCTGTCCAATAGACAGCTCAAGTTTGAGGTCTGCATTGCATGTTATTTAAGGACATTCCTGCATTTAAGCCATACCAGATACAAGCAGGCAGTCCCTTGGAAGCAAGTGCTCACTGCAGACAAGCTGTCTACGTTGGACAAGTAATAGCATCTCAGGAAGCTTTTTCAGATTCCCTATGCCTTCCTAAATGATTATTTTGCAACTGGGCTCTCCGACATTAACACACACAGAGCTAAACCCGCATTACCCCCCATCCCCATGCTTTTGCACACAAATACTTACCGTTTTTCACCATGTCCGAGATCACACGGGCAAGTTCCAACAACATGGCAGTTCCAACGCCAGCCTTGGCCGCTCCTGGGCCCCAGGAGTCTCTTTGGGCTCCAATCACAACATATCGATCTACAAAGGAGACATCGAGATCTAAGCTGCAAGCTTCAGGTTGCAAACACCATTTATTAGAAAAGCAGCTTTGAGCTTCCATACTAGGACCAGAGTATGGAGTCTGACCCCTGAATCTGGCACCCTGTTTGCTTTCATTTAGCCTTCCTCTGGCAGCACAGTTCAGCTTTTTCCTTGACCCTTCAGGAAGGGTCTTGGTTCTGCTGAGGAAGTGGTTGTGTCTGTCTGGGAGCAGCTATCACATTCTGATGACCACAGAACAGGAAGGGTTCTCCTCAAGACTGAGCCACGAGGCAGCTGCTGTTACCTGGTTCTTCAAATCCCTTGATAGCACCAAAGATGTTCAGAATCTTCCTGTCCACCATAGCGTTGTTCACGGTCAGTTTCACTGTCATCTTGCTCGTGCTGTTCAGCATCACCTTACATCCCATGATGCCACCTTTCCACTCCAGAATGCATTCCTCTCCATGCATTTTACTGAGGGGGGAAAAAGAGATCCTTTGAACTCATTATCCAGCTCTGACCTCATTCAGCTATTCAGTGAAAAAAGCAAGCCTGCAACTGAAGCCTTGTTCAGGGCATGCTCAGAAAACAGCTTGCAGACCTGTCCTACTGATTATGCAGGAAGAAGTAGGCTACAGAGGCCAAAAGGAATCCAACACTAGATTAAGATTAGTCTTTAAGACATGAGATATGGACACAAGTCTCATTTCACCAGCCAGCTCCAGTAAGCTCCCTGCGATACACAGCAGAGACCAGCAGAGAGCTCCCTGGGCTCACAGCACCTCAACACCATCCTCACCCCTGCAAGAGGGCCACAGCAGCCTAGCCTGCAAGCCAGGAGAAGCAGTTACCTGAACAGCTTGCCTACTGCTTTGCTAGAGATAGTCTGAACAGCAATGCGAGGTAGTCCAGAAGATGCCACTGGTGGGAACTGGGTGTGGTTGAAAGAAGGAAAGCCTGGGGTGAAGGGGTCTCCAGTTCCCAGGTGGGCCTGTGAAAAGCAAGAAGAATCTTCAAGTCTCAAAGGAGTCCAACAGTTTTCATCTACACGAGGGCAGGAAGCATTGCTCAGCCAGAGGCCTGCAGAAAGACTGCTGCAGCCTGCAGTCCACAGTGAGGAAAGTTCTAGAGCATACTCACATGGCCAAAGGGGACAAGCGTATCTGTGTTCTCGTAATCGGAGGGGTCCAGGTACATCAGGGCACCAACTGCTCCGGCTGCTTGGGCATTTGCAACCTGAAGCAAAGAACATTAATTACACATTTGTTCTGCAAGAAAGGCGAGTCAAGGCAAGTATATGTAATGGTGCGAAGGGTTGTGCCCCTCAATGCCCAACTCCAGAACAGATTTTTGACAGCTACCCGACAGTGACAGATACACAAAGATGCTGAATACTAACAGATCAGTCCTACTCCAGGCAAAGCGCATGTGGGACTCTACAACTGGAACTTTGCCTCAAACCCTGCCCGTGCGCTGTTTGCCCCAGGAACTGCCTGCCAGGGGTGTGTGGGGTGGAGGGTCAGTTTTTGGTGCCACGTAGGTGGGGCTGTATCAGGAACAGTGTGGTGAGTAGGACAAAGGAAGTGATTGCCCCCCTGTATTTGGCACTAGTGAGGCCCCACCACTTTGTCCAGTTTTGGGTCCCTCACTACAAGAAAGACAGAGAAGGGCAATGAAGCTGGTGAGGGGTCTGGAGCACAAGTCTTGTGAGGAGCAGCTGAAGGAGCTGGGGTTGTTGAGCCTGGAGAAGGAGAGGCTGAGGGGAGATCTTTCAGGCAGTTGTAGAGAGGTGGGGGTTGGTCTCTTCTTCCAAGACAAGAAGAAATGACAGCAAGTTGCACCAGGGGAGGTTTAGACTGGACATTAGAAAAAGATTCTTAACCCTTTCAGCATATCAACCATTGGAACAGGCTGCCCAGGGAAGTGGTTGAATCCCCATCCCTGGCAGTATTTACAAAACAAGTAGAGCTAGTTCTTAGCAATATGGTTTAGTGATGTGTTTTTTCAGTGTTAGGTTGACGGTTGGACTAGATGACCTGAAAGGTCCCTTCCAACCTAGACAATCCTATGATGATTCGATGACTTCCCTGCTGCTGTTGCTGGGGCTTTCGCCATAGAGGGCGCCCGCACAAACTGAAAGGTTGAGTGATAGATGCTGCAAGACAGGGCTCGAAAGACTCCCATGTGACACCCCCCACTTCCTAGAACGACCCTGCACACCTCACAAGGAAAGCATAAAAGCTGGCCAAACAGACTAGGAGGTGAGCTCGGAGCTCCCATCACCTATGATGCCCTGGGGAGGACCAACAAGACATCGCTGGTTCCACAGGTGGTGACTATACTTTCTCTTTCCTTTGCAAATACTCAAATCGTTGTTAAAGAAATAGTTTTGGTGAGTTTTCAACCTTTTGAAAGGTTTGTTTGTGCCTTAATTCCAACTAGGCAATTGAAACTTTACATTAATGTCTGTGGCCTGGTCACAACACTGTGTTCAACACCCTTTTGAACACTTACGACACTCCACAGTTAGTGTCTCACCCTATGATTCCTTCAGCTCGTACTTGCTCCTCAGAGCAGCTTAGATGAAAGATGTTATTTAATTTTGATTAGGCTCCAGCTGTTTTCCTCAGATTAGGTTAGTCTCAAGACAAGATAAGCAGCCACCGGAGGCTCATCTTCACGTGGAAAGCAGAGGCAGAGTGGCCAAGTCAGGTTCCTGTTTAATACGCCTACAACCCAGCTTCCTCCAGTAAGTCACCAGTACAAACACGATTGCAAGGCTAGCCACCAGTTTGAAAAATGGGAAGGGGATTGGAAAACCAGTGAGCGCCCTTTGTGGGAGCACTTTTCAGCTCTGCCTGTGTCTGTGATGCTCACAGACAGGCAGAGTCTGACTGGAAAAAGTCATCTGAGGGGGCAGCTATGGGGCAGACCTACAACAGGACTGGATACAGAAGGGCTTGGATCCTTTAGGCTGTTAAGCTATTTGGTTGTACTTGTTATAGAGGGAATGTTGCAAGGCAGCCGACTAGGCCAGCAGTGCCACCACCTCCACTTGGTCCAACTCAACAGTCAGCAAAGGCCCAAGCAAGACACTGCAGCCAAGTTTGGAAAGTACCTGGCTGCAGCAGCCAGAGGTTCTCTAGAGGCAAGGCTGGTCTGCTTCTAGCCACCCTATTGCTGCATACAGCAATGCCACCAGCCAGCTCTGCACCCCAGGCTGCCTCCCAGCTCCATCATTCCAGATACTTGGCTGTCCCAGCAAGACTGCCAGAGGGCAAGAAGAATGACACCATGAACGGTAACCAGCTCTGCTCAGTCGTGCTGTCCAGACCTGCATGTGATGACTTAGCACAAACAAGCAAGACTAGGCCTGCAGGGACAAGCCTACGTACATGAGTTCTAGAGACCTGAGCTGGGGCGCAGAGGTGTGTCTTCAAAAGGAGGAAGCATAGCTTCCTGCTGCCAAGTTTGGCCAGCCTTTGGGGCACAGACTGCTTACCTTTTCAGCCAGTGTTATTTTTCCAGCTCTGAAGATGATTATAGTGTTATTCAGTGAAACACCCGGCTTCTGTATCTTCTGAAAATCAACTTTCCGTCCATAGTTCACGTAGACTGGTTTGCCCTGGAACAGAAACATTGGTTATAAATGCAGCAGTCCTGTGTCAGTAAGATACCCGATATTTACAGTGACTCCTGGTAACAGCTCAGCAACATAAACTCTGATCACATGCAATGTGCCCGTTGGAGCGACCTTCTGCCAAGGTTCCTGTCTGGATGCCAGCAGAGACGCTTAAGCAGTTACTTCTGCATCTTGTGGAAGTAATAGAACCATACAGACCCACTCCTCACCCCACTCTCCCCACCACCACCCCTAGTTCTTCAACTGGGAAGGGCTTTATACACTCCATATCTTCAAGGGACATAGTTTGGACATGGCCACCCGGTAAGCATGCAAGCTCATTTCCAGGATCTTCTTGGAGTCACTTACAACAACTGAGCCAGTCTTGCTGTACGCCACATATGCATCAGGAGTCTCCAGTAACTCTTCTTTATCATCTTCCAGAATAGACACTGTGTTGTTGCTGCTGTTAAATGTAAAGAGACAGCGTTACGTTCTTTCATAAATAAACTCCATATTAAACCAGCTCCCGTATTTCAGTCTGTGCCCTAGCAATTCTGATGAAGTCAATGCAGAGCCTGAAACAGGCAAACTCATCCCAAGAGAGTGTAAGAATCTCTTCAGAGACATTAACAAAGGCTAATTTATGAGACGGGCAGCAGAAAGAATCTGTGCTTCCAAGTCTCAGTCCTCTCCTAAGAGGAGTTAAGCAAATTAATTTCCCCTGACATGAAGGGGCAAGTAAGGCACAAGGGTATGAGCTGTCAGCCAGCACAATGTCTGTTCAACCCTCCTGAGCTACTCCAGGAGCCACTGCCAGGTCTGCAGCACCTGCCTGGGTGACAAGAGAGTTGCCCATGCTAACACATGGGCAGCATCACAGAAAGTGATTCACAATTTTAGAAACACAGGGAATCTGCTCTTCAGCTGAGTTTTTACTCAAGTTTGTTTTCTCTGCACTTCCTGAACCTGCTTTGAGGAAACAGCTGTCCCAGAAAAAATCCAGAGGGCTGCTACCTTGTTCTTTGGATTTAGAAAGCCTGAGAAGAGACAGGAAAAGCTATTGCTTGGCTAGATTGGAGATGGGCAACTAGCTAGCTTGCAATTTTAGCACTGCTCTCAGAAGAAATTGCACGTTTAAGACTTCAGATATTTATACTGTAAGGTAGAGACCTGCATCTCTTTGACATACCTGCCTTTGACCTGCAGTTTGATGTAGTGCTCATCATTCCACACTTCATCCATGAGAAAGCTGGTGAACTGCTCATGAATGTAGATGGCAACATTCTCATCTTCACTCTGGCCAGCTTCAAACGAGTTCTTAATTGCTCTTTGCCTGTGGGTAACATAGGTACAGCTTAGGCTGCAGCACCAGGTTGCACTGCAGTGCTCCAGCCTGCAAACCCAATATTGGATGGGCCATTTAAGCCCATGTTTAGCCACATGCCTCCCCACAACATCTTTGAGGCCCCTGTTCTCCAAAGGAGCCCAAATTCTACTCACAGGCTGTGCCTCTCACAGCTGTAGCTAAGCTTTCTGGAACTGCTACCTCAAGTTGTCCTGAAGACGTCCCGCTGATAGCCTCTCCGACAACATGTCTCTGAGCTTAGGCCAGTAGAAGACAACTGGTCCAGGAACCTCTTCTTCCTCAGTTTCATCATCATCCATTAAGTAAGATGTGGTAGGAGTCATCTCACACTTGCCACTTGCATCCAGACACCTGCTAGCCTTCTGCATTCGTCCACGATAACTCAAGTAGCCAATCAGAAACCCTAAGGACAGAAACAGGTATTTCTTTGTGCTGCAGGAAGATGTCTAAACCAGCCCTACACCGTACAAATGCATTCAGGGCAGCTTCAGCGTTAAGATGCATCTCTGCTCTCGCACCATTTTTGACAAGCTGGCATGCCTCAGGACAGTCAGGAATATGCAGCCTGACATTTTGCCTGAGCTGGCATGTTTTCAGGTACCATAAATCTGATCTTGTGCTTGGCAGGGACCCGCCAGCACCACTTGGGAAGGAGAATGGTTACTTTAGGTCAGTGGCAGTGTTAAAATCCTTGAGACACAAGCACCGGAGGCTTTACTGATACATTGACCCTCATCTCAAGAGAATTGTTAAGAGTTAATTGAGGGAAAACCAGTACACTTGCCACATGGACCAGTTTGCCCTTTGTTTGACAGTTCCACCATCAAACTTTGTGTCAATTCTGTACCATTAGTCTGAGCTAGACAGAGTTAGTGACAAGAGGCTGCAGCCTGGATCCAGGCTCTTTAATTCCCCCCTGAAACAATACACATTCAAATGACAACAGCCTCAGGTATGCTCAGTACCAGAGTCCACTTCACATGGTTGCCTCCCACCCTTCCTTACCAATCAAGAGGAGGAGGACAGCCGCAATGACTAGGAAGCAGAGCTGCCTGCCAATCCTCCGTGGAGGGGGCATGCTGGCATGCAGGTGCTCTGGTCTCCCAGTTTCCCCTCCATCCTCATCATCAGCAGACAGCTTCATCTCCACATGGCTGTTGTCTCCATCCATTTGTCGGGCAATGCTGAAGCGCGTGTACGACGTCGGCTCGCCACCAAACTGTGTGGAAAGACAGTCATGCAATGGAAGGGTTTGCTACACCAGCCTACAGTCCAAACCAAATACAGCTTGTTCATCTGAAACTGCTCCAGCACAGCCCGAGCCTTTGATTGGCAAAAAGTCAGGCTGGCTGCTTTGAACACACTGAGTTGGACTCAGACCCACTCAGGGTCTCCAAAGTCTATTTAGCATCTGTTTGCCCCACACAAGTTCAGAGCCACGCTGGTCAGAGTCTAGCTTGGAGATACAGATATGACACAGCCAACCGCCATTGCATTTCCCACGTGACCTCAGAGCAAAGGCTGATTGAAGCTGAAACTCCAGGTCTTAATCAGGAGTGCACTGATCTGAACATGTGCACCACACACACAGAAGGGAACTTTGATCGGGACAGGAAAGGGAAGGCAGCCCCTCCATGTTGTGCCTTTGAGCCACATACACTTTGACGTAAATACTCTCATCCAGCATCTAGATAATCTTGTATTAAACTGCCCCAGGCTACTCTGAAATTACACTATGAATGAGTATTTTAAAGCAGCTAGGCTGAAGAGAGATGACCCACGTGAATCCTGCTACCTCAGCTAACATGAAAGCTGAGGATCCAACCCTTGCATCCACCAGTGAATGGAACCATTCTACAGCTCTTTATCAGTGCCCAAGCAGAGCCCCTTCCTGGCTGGAGCTCACTTTTCCAACGCACAGTCCAAACGCAGCCCGTGCACATGGCAGTTGCTCAAATTAACAGAGCTACACTCAGTTCCAGGCATAGCCAGGCACTGAGCACAACCACGCAGCTTCCATTAGCAATGAAATTTGCCTTCACCTGCAGCCACAGTTGTGCTGGGGACAGGCAGGAGACTGGATAAAAGGACAGAGGAATAGTTCTGGGAACAACAGTCCCATAGTCTCTCTCCACCGTACTGGAGAAGCAGCTGGTAGCAAGCACCCAAGCCCTGTTCCATTCTCAGCACCTCATAGACAGTTCCTGTCTCACTCTCCAACTACAAGCCTATCCCAGCAGTCCCCCTGCTCAGCTGCTTGGTATCTTGGCAGAGGACATGCCTCAGCCCTACATATTCTCCATGTCTGTTCAGAGACCGAACCATCACATTCACGGTCCTAGCCTAGGGTCATTTCAGTCCAAGCTCTCCGGGACCAGCAGAGCTTGGCTGAGCAAGCTCTGAGCTACCTCCTCCTGAACATTTGTTTCAAAGCACAGGTCCCATTCAAAGGCTGGACTTGTGGTTGAATTCCCACCCTCGAAGTAACATAATAGAACACATGTTTATTGTCCTGACAGCCATTTAATCAGCTTCCTCAACAGCACTGGAACATTGTTCTGAGCCTGGAACATTGTTCAAGGCTCAACCCAGCTCCTTTATCAGCTTTCTGAGAGACTCAAGACACCGTAGCAGTTAATGATAACTCCACCAGCACTGAACCGCTTAAGCCACCTTCTTATCACAGCCAGCTAGCTACACTGACTTTTGGCTCACAACCCACACAGTAGCACCTAACACTACTTTGGATTTGTCATCTCCTCTGATACTGACATAGACAATGTTGAACCGTTCTTCAGCAGCATCATCAGCCCACCAAGAGACAAACGGCACAGCGGAATTGTGTCTTACCAAGTTTGAGATTGCCGCTCTGGCATGGTCCATTGCCTTCTGGAGAAGTGCTCACCAACTTGACCAAAGCCCTAGAAGTTCAGAACACAACAAGTTTAGTCAGGCTGTTCCTTTGCACTACATAAGATGTCCAAGGTCAGTCACTGCCACTAGTACAATGCTTGCCCATGGAATTTATGCACATGCTTCTACGCAAGTCACAATGTCAACCACATCAACCTTGAATGCAAGCAAGAAGTTCACATACTCCCATTGCAAGTATAAGTTCTGATGAACAAACTGACTCTTTCTATTGAATTCCAGAGATGTGGGTGGTGGGGTGGGTGTATAAATGAGGAACACAGTTTTAAAAGGCTAATTTCACCCAAGGGTCTTATCAATTGTAGGGCTACCTCCACTCAGGAAGTGATGGCAAGAGGCACATGCTCAAATGTGAAACCATGTATTTAAGGTTTCTGGGGTCGGTCTCAAAGGTGGGATGGAGACAAGAGTCCAACAGGTAGCCAGAGGAGACACAATGCCATAAAGCGAAGCAGCACAAACTCCTACCCTGCCAAACCACTTCCAAGTGCAAGGTCCCTTCTAGATGGCTACATTCTTTACCACTTTATGAGGGCAATTTCAGTTTTGAATAGTCTCCCAGAATAGCCAAGAGCAACTTTCCAATAGCATTTCAGTAACAGCTTGGATTTCTCTAGACAGCAAACTTATCTGAAAGGTAAGCTGTAAGTGATTTACTTCGGCATTTTTTCTTGAAAAGATGCTTGAAAAAGCTTCATAAGTTAGTGACTAGGCAGCTTGGGGCAGGCATTTAGGTTGGGACAATGCAACCTGAGTATGCCCTCAAGCAGCACTGCTAGAAAATGGCTTTGAACCGGTCTTCAGGTGCGCGTGGATTAGCTTTACACCCGGGAGCTCTGCAATATAAGCGGGTTTTAGTTGGCAATCAAAGGTTAACAGTGGCCGCCCGCTCATTTCACCTTGTGCTTAGAGCAAGAGAACACGGAGATTAATCCCTGGCAGCTTTGAGAAGCCTTTTCCAAGTGACAACCTGAGGCCCAGGCCCCCACCTGGCAGGCAGGGCACACCAGGGCGTGCATATGGAGAGGCTCCTGAAGGCCAGGCCGGGGGAGAGCCAGGGAAGGGCAGGGGGCCTGGCAGCCCCGGAGGCGGGCAGGGAGGGATGCTCCCCGGGAGAGCGGGGCCCTCCCGACCCCCTCACGGCCCAAACCCCTCCACCAGCCCGGGGGGTAACGCCAGGCGCCTCACAGGGAAAGCACCTTCCCCTCCTCCCGCCAAGCAGCCCGGAGGGCGGCCAACAACCCCAAATCCCTCAAGAATAAGGCAAAAAGGCAGCCAGGCGGGGGGGGAGAGGGGAGTAGCCTCCACCGAGGGGCCGGTATCGCGGGCAGGGCCCGGCTGCGGGTCGCCAGATAAGCGGTGGGGGCGATACGCCGCCGGCCGAGGACACGTCTCACACACACACCACCCCCCTCCCTCCCTCCCCGTTCCCGGGCGGCGGGGGCCGGGGGGGCCGCAGCGGGACCCCTACCCGCCTTCAAGGTCAGGCCAACAGCGGCCACGTGTGTGTGCGCACGCGTCCGTCCGCCCGCCCGCTCCGCCGCCCAACCGGGGAGGCTGCGGCACCGCCGGTACAGGCCCCGCGCCCGCCTTCACCTTCCCACCTCCTCCCCCGCAGCGCCGCCTCAGAGGGAGAGGCCTCCCAGCCCTTCAGTTCGTTCGCCCGCCCCGCCGTCCCCCGCGGAGCTCACCCGCTGCCCCTCCGCTCGTCGCCCCTGAACTGAGCAGCCCTCCCCGCGTCGCCGCCGTCCTACCTCACGCAGACACTTCCCGCCCCTGCCGTCAGCCAATCAGCGCGCCCGAGGCGCCTTTCATCTGGGTCCTACCGTCCGCCCGCCCGCCCGCGGCTCGTCCTTCTGGCCCCGCGGCCAACGCGGGGTTTGCGGGGAAAACGTTTGTGCGCCCCTGGGCGATGCGGAGCTGGAGATGGGGCTCGCTCCGGCTTGGGAAGCGCTCAGCATAGACTCATAGAATCATTTCGGTTGGAAAAGAGCCTTGGAATCATTGAGTCCAACCATCTACCCTACTCTACAAGGTTCTCACCTACACCATGTCCCCCAACACCACACCTGAACGACTCTTGAACACATCCAAGAATGGTGGCTCAACCACCTCCCTGGGCAGCCTGGTCCAATGCCTGGCTACTCTTTCTGTAAAAAACTCTTTCCTAATGTTCAGTTCAAACCTACCCTGTTGTAGCTTGAAACCATTCCCTCTTGTTCTGTCGCTAATTACCCGTGAGAAGAGGCCAGCACCAACCTCTCTACCATCTCCTTTCAAATGGTTGTAGAGAGTGATGAGGTCACCCCTCAGTCTTCTCTTCCTCAAACTAAACAGTCCCAGCTCCTTCAATTGCTCTTTGTACGATTTGTTCTCCAGGCTTGCGTGCTCAGGGCTGCTTTTTCAGCTCTGGAGGTGTGGCGGTGCCCAAGGTGCCTTCCCTTCCTGCTGCGCCACCTGAGATTCCCATTGCATTTCCACAATGAGGAGCCTGGCAGGCCTTCACGGGAGCCGGCACCAGTAGTGCATAAACACAAGAGGCACAGGCAGCCCATGTCAGGCCACAGGCTGCTGGTGGTCCACAGAGCAGTTTCTGTGGACCATTAAAGTTTCTGTGATCATTAAAGCATCTCTTTGGTGGACACCACGGGCTGGCTCCAGCTCTCAATTTACTGTTCCTCACCCCAGCCCTCTCCCTGGGGCAGGCAGAGGGACCCCACACCATGGTGGGAGCTCCCCGGTGTGCAGTGCTCTGTCTGGAAAAACCAGCAGGTGCACAGCGGTGAGGTTTTCTGTTTAGTTTCTGAGGAACCTGAAGGGGAAGTAGAACATAGCGGTCGTTTGACAAAACAAAGTTCTAGCACGCATCTTCTCTCAGTGGCCTTCATAAGGGTAAGGAAGCAGCTCAGTGGGTTTAGAGTGAAAGTGGTAAATAATATACTGGAGGGTATTTAGGGAACCGGTAAGCCGCCCATGCCCTTGGTGAGTCTGTCTCCAGTTGTCAGTATGATGCTGGGTTGAGGCTCACAGCTCAGCCAGGCTGCTTCCCCTGCCAGGGGCTCTCTGCTCGGCTTCCTGAGGACTACCAGGGCTGTGATATTTGCTCCACTTCCTTTCACCTGGTGGCTAATCTCATAAAGACCCCAGCTGCGTGGACCTTGCAGAACATCCCTACTCTCCTTGAGCATCCACTGATGTTTGCTGTCTCCAGAACTGGCTACGGTCATGAGTGGGCTCCTCCTCTGCCCTGTCTGGACTGCAGCATGAGTGGAGGTCACTGCTTCCAGCCTCGGTCCTTCAGCTCAGGGCATCCCTCAAAGGTGTGCCGGAACTTTGGTTTGGATGTGCATGTGTTCTGTGATGCTGTGCTCATTTGCCCCTTGCTCATTAAAGAAATCAGTAGGCCTGCCTTTGTTATTGCCCTCAAATCCTCTCCCGGGAAAGAGGGATGGGAGCAGAAAGTGTGTAGTTTGGCAGAACACATGATTGCAAAGAGGATTATGTCTTGTGAAAAGCAATACATTCCTGTGCTGATAAAGGGGGGGATTAACTAGATCTGAAACTCAGTTTAGTCTCTGGAGACAAGCCTCCAGTAAAGCGGCTCCCAGGCAAGACGTGCTGGTGGACCCACCAGCTCTGTTTGCTGGAGAAGGTTTGAGCCAGGCTCCAGTGCTGAGGCTCTCCCTTCAGCAGCTCCATCCATCACCAGGTGTGGTGATGCCAGTCATGGGGGGGACGCTGCCATCACTCTGTGCTGCTGCTGCCAGATGCCTTCATGGGAGCCAAAGGTGTTGAGAGCATTCAGAAAGGGATTAGATCAGTCATGCAGGCTGGATCCTCTGGTCGTTTCTCAACACAATGGTCTGGATGCAGCCTGCTGCTCAGGAAAGTGTAACCCGGGGGACAACCCCAGCCCTGCCCTCTTTATTATGTTCCTCCTGGGCTCCCTCCTTCAAACCTTCACCTTCCAGCAGTGCCAGTACGACTCCAGGGATGGGGCATCCACAGCTTCTCTGGCCAGCCTGTGCAAGTGTCTCACTGCTCTCACGGTAAATAATTTCTTCCTTAGATCCGGTCTGAATCTCCCTTCTTTCAGTCTAAAACAGGGACGCCTGCAGCAGAGCTCAGACTCAGGAGGTTCCCTGGACCAAGCCAGGGAAGGGGAATTCTGATTTCTTTCTCCCCGTGGCTGGTTGGTGGCTGTGCTTCCCTTCCAGCCAGCAGAGAGGTGCGCCGTGCCCCGCTGTGCCAGCCCCGACCTGCCCTCACAGATACACACTGCAGGTGTTTTCTGTTCCCTCTCGCAGTGTGTTTGACCACGTTGCTGAGCAGTTCCCCATTTCTACACCTGCCAGGAAAAAGAGAAGAAAGCTGACATTCTAGAAACTCAGATATTTTTGCACCGCAGCCAGCGTTAGCAGTGAAATACCTTAGAGTGAGGTTTTTTTCAAACGCCACGTGGTTGCTGAGAGCAGTTGAGCGCCCTTTACCTTGCCTTGGCTGGGGGCAGGGAGTAGGAGTTGGCCGGCTACCGGCTGCCAGTGGCTGGTGCCACCTCCCTGGTGCCTGCCTTGTTCACAAAGTGGGTGATGCTGAGCCCAGGTGCTCAGGCAGCCCAGCTCGGCCAAAAATATTTGCAAGGAGAGGAGATAGCCAAACCTGGGAACTGGCCAAAATGGCCAAAGAGTGAAAAGGATGTAGGATTGGTGACTGCTGACTTCTGATCCCTCATCCCAGCAAGATGCAGGGTCTCTGTGTGCATGATCTTCACACGTTTCAGGTCCATAAAAATCAAGAGACGTCACCATCCACCTGGAGATCTCTGGTTCCCAAAGACCAGAAAAATTGAGCTGTGAAGCTGGCTGGGGCAGACAGTTGTGGGAGCCCTGCTGCACCTCACCATAGGTATCTGCAGCTTGCTCCAGCTTGCTTCTGCCTGCTCCGCTTAGAGCCTCCATGCTTGTCCCAACACCTCACTTCAGCCTGGCTTCCATCGGTGCCTTCCTCCTCCTCATGGCTTGGCCCTGGTAGTGTAGGAGATGTTTGTCCCTTTTTATTCTGAACTCCTGAGGGGCTCGTGAGTCCCCTGACTCGGACTCAAATGATTCATATTCCTTTGTGCAATACCCCGTGGTGCGACAAGTGACCCTTCCTGCAGGTTGAATGTGGGAAGAAAAGCAGAATTTCACTTCAGTTTTGCAGTGTGCCTGACCCTCGTGTGACCAGCTGTCCTACCCGCATTTTCAGAAGGCAGTTAAAAAACAAGCGCCACAGAGATAAACAGGCTGGAAAGGATGACCCATGCCTTGTGAGCCCCTTATCAAAAACAACATTGGGAGGTGACTTGAGCACTTTTATGGCAAGAAATACTGGGACTAACATGGCTCTTCAATCTGGAAGGGATGGAAAGGCCAAGAACCAAGTGCTGGAACATTGTGCCAAGTCGGAGGTGCTGGGCTGAGGGTTGGGGAGATGCGATGGCCCATGGGGTGGGAGGTGGTCAAAGGGCTCCTATGGGCTGTGAGCTCTGCAAAACAGAGGCTGTGAGGAACCCCCTGTACAGGGCCAGGCAGACAACTGGCACCTGGGGAGAGTAGAAAGACTTCGGTCCTCTTCCCCCTGTGTCAACTGCTGCCTGTGCATCACAGCCACTGGGAGAAGTGGCAGTGCCAGCCCCTGCCTTCCTGGGAGCAGATCTGAACCACACAACAACTGTTTTCCCTGCCCAACTCGTGGGCTGCACCAGCTTGCAATCAGAATTTCACAACACCATGAGAATCCTCATCTTCTAGAAGATCCTCATGCTTTTGGCCTTTGCTGCTGCATTTCTCAATTCCCCTCTTGCAGGAAGGGTGAGGTAGCCGGATCTGACCCTGAAGGAGGGGGATCCAGCAGGCAGAGGATCTGCTGCCTCTTCTCCCGTAGCCAAGGGGCTGCGGAGGAGGCAAGGGGTGGGCCAAGCACAGCCAGGAAAAGGCGTCTGAGAGAGTGGAAGCGCGGCAGGTAGCGCTGAGAGCTGGCTGCGGCTCCGTCTTCCCTTCGAAAGAACACCCGTTTTTGCATCCTTCCTGGGGAAGCACCTGGGTCTGGCTTGGGTCTCCGCATTGTCCACAGCTGCCCCAGTGCTCCTGCCTGTCAGTTGGAGACAGGAACACCGAGCACCTGGGGGAGAGACGTGGGGCTCAGGATGGTGCGGTTTCTTGGCCCTGTGAACATGCAGACCTGGGGTACCCCATGGACCCCTCTCCTCAGAGACCTCTGGAGGGTTTTTTTGCCTCCCCTGCAGTGAGGAAGCTCGTCTCCCCCTGCCTCTCCCACCACAGAGGCCACAGAAGGAGGGAAGAGGAGATGGTGGTGTTTGTTCCTACAAACAGGGGCTAGCATGGAGGCCCAGCAGAGAGGCTCACGCTTGGACACTCTGCCCCAGGCTGGCTCTTCCAATGGGGGGCTTCTTTTCTTGCAAAGACTGGGTTTCACTGGGATTTTATCCTCCAAAGCCCTGGGGACCCCTCTGTGCTCCTTGCATGACCTGAACCTGCCTACAGGGAGTAGGGTGGGGAGTTATCCCTGATCCCAATATCTGAAGGGAGGCTACAGGAGAGCTGGTGGGGGACTCTTTGTCAGGAAGGATAGTGACAGGACAAGGGGTAATGGTTTTAAATTGGAAGAGGGGAGATTTCTTTACTGTGAGGATGGTGAAGCTCTGGAACAGGTTGCCCAGGAAAGTTGTGGATGCCCCATCCCTGGAAGTGTTTAAGGCCAGGCTG